GTGTGGTCAAGGCTTGTTCGCGTTGAAGCTCCGTGTGTCAGATCAATTGCTCTCTTATCGTCTAATCCTGGCTTGGCTGTAGCCGTTGCTCCATGCGTCATTCCCTCTTTTTCTTTGGCTCCCTTTGGCACTGAATAGCTATAGCTGTTTTCCTTCATGCTCTCAGTCAAGAGTTTCAGCTTACTCTCTGTTTTATCAGCGTGGTGGTCTACAGGTGGCGTCCTTCTTGATTTTTCATTTTGCATGTGGCTGCTGGCTTGGCTAGGGTCTTCTGCTCCATCTAAAATACAGTAATTAATAGCCAAAATATTTATATGTCATCAGTATTTTCCTGACTGACCAAATGTCTTTTGTCAGAATCAACATCAAGTGTTTTAGCTATTTGCTTGTCCATTTATTATTACTTTATTGCATCTTTTTCTAAACCAAGACATAATTCTGCAAAGCACATACCAGGTTCCTGATTACGCCTCAAGTCTAAATCGTGCAATGATTTTGATTCAGCTTGCCGCACCTTCTGTGACGTCAGAAGAGTAGCGCTGGATTGTGCTAAGATGGACTCAACACTCTAAATTAAAAGAAGGAAGAACTTTAATAATAAACACTGACAGCATCTTCTCCAATAACCATCACTGCATGAGAACTGACGCTTTCAAAGCTCATGCATCAGTGTATATTTAATAACATATAGATCAAGGCCTAATACCACTAGCACTACTCAATGAAAATCTAGTTGGCAAAAGCTGAACTATTAGCCCATATTTACTGCAAATATACATATAGATTTTTTTCTGTCTTTTATTATCGCATTTCATCATTGTCATTTCTGAACCATTTCCAAAGGAAATATACTGAGAGAACACTTATTATAATACATCGCACAGTATCACAAATGTGCAAAAAGCCAATCAATGTGCTGTGAAATGCCAGAAATGGCTAGATAAATAATCTCTACAATTTATTCCATTTAGTTATAATTATCAGAAGTATAAAAAAAAATTTGCTCTTCTATGATCAAGAAGTGTTCAGCATTATAAAAAGCTGTCTGGCTACTTTAGGATAAGAGTTAATTTCAATAGAGTAAATGGAACTGGTGCTACCTATCTTTTTTAGTACCTTGGTTTTAGTTAAACCCCATATAAAGCTTGCGAGCTCTGTCATACATATTATAGCTTTAAATGAAAGCTTTATGTTATGGAATTAAAGTGGTTAAAACTGATATGTCGTTACTTTAATCAAGTTAGGGTAAGTTAGGTTAGAATGAGTAAATTTGGTTAAATTGGTGACTATGCAGCTGTGGGAATCTTACAGCATTGAAACTAATTTCAGGGCTTTAAAAATTGTTCTAAGGTTATGGACATGCTATAGCACCAGAATCTGTACTAAAGTCACAATACTATAATTGTAGCCACTGGCAATCATAGTATAAATATATTTACATATGTATAACAAATAAAAAATTAAAAATACCTGTATTATTACTGATGTCACTCTATTAAAGTTGCTTTAAATATAAATCTTTAAACTTCTGATAAAACACTGACTTAAAATCTTAGAATCATACATAAAACAAATATAGTTTTGCTCTATAATTAACAAAATACAACCGAATATACATTCTCTAAAAGAAACTGAAATCATGGAAAGGATGGACAGAAAAGGAAAAACAAATTTACCTGCTGC